CGTCAGTAAACTTTGTCCTCAGGAGTTTCTGTCTCAGTCTCAAGTCGTCTTCAAACAGCTGATGTTCGTTTATTAATTCTGATCATTTAGAGTCAAACAGAAAACTTCACTTTGATGGATAATGTTTGTGAACCAAGCGATTGTCTGGATTCTTGTTCTCCTGTAAATAAAGTCTCATCCAGCAGATCTGCTCAGGTTGCTAGGTAACCGCACTCAGTCGTCCAATCAGCTGGCAGAAATGTGGTGGAGACAAAGAGATGGATGAGGCACTAAAATAGACCTCCCACTGTCAGACCGGCCCGACTCTGCAGATCACCAATAACTGACACGCTCACACTGCTGGGGTCACAGGCGCAGGTAAACCCCACCCGGCTGCCACGCCTGGGAGGATAATTCACGCTTCCACTGTCCCACGGCTCAGCTGTGAATTTGTTTTTTTCTGTGAATCTAACTTTGTCCAATGCAATTGGAAATATCCCAGAATTCCTGTCAACGCTCCAGAGTGACGAGGGAGCTGCTGGTTGTGTGTGGGAGGAGAGAGCGACACACAAAACTGAAAACACAAACAGATCAACTGAAGACTGACATGACAATAAAACTAAAAAACGATAAATAACTCGTCTGACTTCTTTCAGAAGTCGTCCAACTCTCTCTCTGCATTTGTTCCAAACACGTAAATTATCTCGTTAATTTCACTGCGGAGGTCGTTAGTTCAGGTCACTGCGTCTTCACACACACACAGACAACACAGAGACGGGTCCTGAGAATCTGCAGTCGCTCTCTCTCACACACACACACACACACACACACACACACACACACACACACACACACACACACACACACACACTGTGAGTGACGCTAAACTTTGTGAACACAAAGTTGAGTTTTCATCTGGATCTGTTTTCTAATCTGTGAGCTTTTGTTCAAACCGAGTGACTCAGCAGAGTGACGACCGTTTTCCAGTCAAGGTGAATTTATCAGATAATATTTTATGGGTCAGTCACAGCAGCTGGTTCAATGTTTGCTAAACTAACTTTAAAAAACTCGAGACGAATTGAAGCCAGTGAAATGATGCGTTCACTTTCCAGATTTCACTGAAACCACGATTTCATCTGAAGCTTCAGCAAAGTGCTTCAGTTTCAACCACAAAATAAAACAGAAACCAACTGACAGAGACGTTTGACGTCTTGGATAAATGTCTCTGTTGCTGTCGACCGCAGATGATGATGATGCAGATTTGTAAAACAAAACAAAAAGTCTAAAAGCATCCAGACCTGTGTTTTATCTGGAGCTGAGCTCTTCTGTCGTTATCTTCTCCGTACACGTGTTTGTCTGAAGAGTCAAACGTGACGAAGTCTTTTTAGATCTTGGTGGTTTTTAACCTCCTCCTTTAATTTGATTGGCGAGCACCTGTGTCTGTTCAAACACGATTTGTTTTGGCCGCTGCCTCCGACGCCACGTTAAGAGCTGAGCTGTGTCGTACAAAGGGGCGGGACGAGACGCAGCAGAACCACGATGCAGCTCAGCACTGTGTGACATCACCACTGTGTGACATCACCACTGTGTGACATCACCACTGTGTGACATCACCACTGTGTGACATCACCACTGTGTGACATCACCACTGTGTGACAGTGCAGTTACTAATCTGACTGAGACGCCACCTGGTGGCAGAAATCACACATCACGTGTTTAAACTAAGAAGTCACTGCCTCCGATTCACCAGCAGCTTCTACAGGTCGACACTGAGTCAGGTTGTAGAATCTAAACCTCAGTGAAATAACTGATCGGACTGAATGCTCCTCCTGCTCCTCCTGCTCCTCCTGCTCCTCCTCCTCCTGCTCCTCCTCCTCCTCCTCCTCCTCCTGCTGTTTCAGTCTCTTCAGTTTGTGTCGTGATGCAGAAACATGTAAAACACGTCTGAAGCTGTAAGTGGGTCAGACACTGAAAACTGCTGAGTCACAGCTTCACAGCTGATTATTCACGTTCTCACTGTGACTCATCACCAACAGACGATGAAGAGCGTGATGAGTGAGAACATTGGTGAACATCAGAGAGAAGAACGAGCTGAAACGACAGAAACTTCTTTGACAAACTTTATTTAACGTCTACTTTGAGCTTTAGTTTGGTTCATGTCCCATCTGCTAACATGGAGGAGGTTAATGAGCTATACTGCAGCCAGACACCAGGGGGTGATAGAGATGTTTCGGCCCAAAACGTTTGGAAGCTGTCATGTCGTCCATCTTTATTTACACACACACACACACGCAGGAAATCGTGTGTGATGGCAGGCTCTTATCTCAGCTCGCAGGATGTGACCACACCCAGCCCGAAGGTAACGGCTGCTGTCATTGGTGTGTTTCTTGTGATGTTTCCTTCTTTCCTTCCCTCCTGTCCTTTACAACATCCTCCTTCTTCCCTACCACCTCATCCTTTCCTTGCTCCTGTCGTCTGTCCTCTCCTGCTTCCTCCTATCCTTTGCTTCACCATTTTTTTCTTACCATTTCCTTTCCTTCT